TACCTTCAGACACGACTTTGGAAGGCTTGATTTGTGGGAATGAGCTTAGTATATGTAATGGCATAGAGGGCATAGTGATAGGGTATTGGAACAGGCTAGGACACTGGTGTAAAAGAGAAGGAAATAATGAGCCAACAACTTTTTCCCCTAGTATAAATAATTATGCTGGATGTCTGCCAGTTCAAGAGAAAAATTCTATGTGAACTCTATCTGAAGTAGCAGTAGCAAAGTTGTAGAGCTGTAGTGATGGGCCCTCTAGCGGCTAGTTCTTATAAAATGAACATAACTGGCTGTTTTCTACACTCCCAGTCTATCACTGTCTTTTCTTTTTGGTTTTCTAGAACCACCATTTGCCTTCATCTGTATTCTATCATCCCACTCTTCTATCATTCCTCACACAGTACCAACTTTGGAACAAGCTCAATGTTAGGGTACACTTCTTGATGGAAAAATTGATTCACTTGGAAACTGACAGATGGAGAGAATTGTTGGCAGAAGGCTCTTTGAAAGATGAGGAAGGAAATGAAGATGCAGAAGTGGCAAGAGGAAGAAGCCACCAGATAATGTGGTTACATCTGAAGCTTCAGCTCATTCTATGGGCAGTTCTGGAGCTGAGACAGCCCCTCAGAGTTGTCCCAAATTGAGGACAGTTGTATCCCTGTATCAGTCTGTCTTTGGTTGGGAAGCCACAGGAGGAATGTGACCTTGGTGGACACTTCCTTGTGGTTCAGGACAACGCAAGGTGAGGCTTGTAATTGTTCATCAAATATTAGTGTTTCTTCCCTTTCTCTTTCCTGTTCACTTATTTCTGACTCCCTTACTCCTGGGAGCTTATTTGCTGCCACTGTTTAACCACTGCCAGAGATGGGGTATCTGATTTAATCTAGGCAGATAGTGTTCTTGGTTTCTTGGTGGCACTTGAAACAGGATTATTCTTATAAAAGGTTGGTTGAAGGCCTTGCTTTGTCTATTCTCCTATATTTAAATGAGTATTTTAATATTGCCATTTCACTGAAAAGAGACTGGACTCAGAGGTTCCAGGAAAGGAAAAAGAAAGCAAGTCACATTGCCAAGACAGACTTATTTATTTATACCTATAAGGCTCCCACCCTAGTCCCCCTGAAAATAAGAGTAGCAGTACGTCTCCCTTATTGGCAGGACTGTAAATGCTTTGTTTTTGATAGTCCTGGTAGGAAAGAGGACAGTAGTGTGAAAGCCTCTTAACTTGAATCTCTCCACCAGAATCTACTTTTTTCCCACAGTAGTGAACATCTGGCTGAAACATGACTATCCAGCTAGGCAACTCATCTTCCAGTTCCCCTTGCAGCTAGTTGTGTCCTAAGCCCTCATCAATGGATCTGAACAGAAGAGATGTACACAGCTTTTTGCCATTCTTGTTTAAGAGTAAATCTCTGGTGCTGGATTTTCTGTTCATTCTCTCTAAAGAAATGCTTTAATCAAAGAAACCTTAGGCATTACATGTTAAGATGGCAGTCACTGTCCTAGGTCCCTGAATAACCAAGTAGAGCACAGCCATCTCCCTACTTTGAACATTGGCTTTGGACCATGTTATATTGGACCTTCTAACTAAATCTTACCAATTCTTCATATCCTACCAGAAATCACACTTCTTCTAAGACACATCTGTGAATACTTGCCTTTCTTCTTCTTGAGCATCATATTTTCTGGTACTTATCTTGTTTTTGTTCTTTATTTGGTGTGTCCTTCTTTATTACTCCCACATGAAGTAGAAAAAGGATAGCCACAAAGGGTGGTACCAACTCTGTGATGAAAGTTGAGCTTTAGGAGTCAGGTATGGTGGCACATGCCTGTAATCCCAGCACTCTAGGGGCTGAGGCAGGAGGATAGCTACAAAATCGGGACTAACCTGGGCTACATAGTGAATTCAAGTCCAGTCTGAACTGCATAACTGCATAGTGAGACCCTGTCTCAAAAAAATAACCAACCAACAACCATACAAACAAAACCAAACAAAAGAAAAGAAAGAAAGAAGAAAGAAAAGAAAAATTGAGCTTTAGAGCTGGGCATGGTGGTACACACCTGTAATCCCAGCACTCTGGGAAGCTGAGGCAGGAGTATTACAAGTTCAAGTCCAGCCTGAGCAATTTAGCATTTTAGCAAGAATCTATCTCAAAAAAGGATTTTAAAGGGGCTAGGTATGTAACTCAGTGTTAAGGTCTTGGGTTCAATCCCCAGTCAGAGAGAGAGAGAGAGAGAGAGAGAGAGAGAGAGAGA